GAGAGAGAGGTGGTGTGTGACTGTGCGACCAGTGATTCCTGCTAACAATGTGCCATACTTGTGTAATTCACTGTCAGTCTATGAAGAATGTTTTTTCAAATAAATGTTGAGCATTTAGAAAACGTCCACGTTTAATTCTGCTGTCGTAGACTCTGTTTTACCAGAGCACGATACTCACTCCACCCGTCAGAGGTTTCATGTTGTAGGTGGCAGCAGGATGCAGCTAAATGCTTTAAATGTCACCTGGGGTACGCATACAGCTCATTTGTAAAGTAGCTATCAGAACTTTGTGTACATAATTTTGCATTTCCAGTTTAAATATGGTTTCCCTCTAAACAGAGATGGTGGGTATTTTCAGTAATGAGAGGGATCAGGGGGTGATTTAGAAGTTTGAGAATGACAAACAAAAACACTGCTTTCTATATTTAAGGTTCAGTTCAGCCACCTAAAGGGAACAAATGAGATCCCAGTGCACTAAACCAGTGTGAATATCACCTTGTTTAACTGTGTTACTGCTCTGTAACACAGTTACAGAGCAGTAACACAGTTTGTAATATGACTTTTTTAAGTCATATTACAAACTGTGTTTGTAATATGACTTAATTTCTGTCTGCTAAGATAAGATTATTTGATATGTAAACACTGAATTTAATTACATCTGCAAGTTGATCCAAATTTCATATTTATGATTTTTGTTTTTATTTTCTGGAGCTTAAATGCATTTGTTTAGGTTTGGGGTTTTTTTTAGCGTCACTTTAATGGAGTCTGTAAAATTCCCTGACTCTTAAATACATGCAGAGCCCATTGTGGTTATATGTAATTGCTCGTAGGAGGCAGTTTCATATAAAGAAAGCAAGCCATGGGAGGTCTGGCCTCTTTGGATAGTTTTCCCTCCACAGCAACTGAGGAAGGTGAGTTTATTTTATGTCATCCACCTGGATATTGGAGATCTTAGAGATTGTAATGGCCTCTCTAACTAATGCTACAGTCACAATGTGCAGCGGTCTCATTCATTTTGTAACAGTTGGAGACGGGCACCTGGTGTACAACTACTTGTTTCAAAACGACTTTGTGTAAAGATGGGCTCTGTCTGCCATCAGCTTGCGATTGAACAGGGACAAGTGGACAGTTATGAGCAATCTGTGATAATACTGTGATTAAATGTGAAGTGAAAATCACTTCTGTCTCCATATACATACACAGAAATTTACATAAACTCCTTGAGTCCAGTCAGAATTTCAGATGTTAAACTAATATTGATGCAGTGGTCACGCTCCAACCTTCTTTTAAAAAAAAAAAAAAAAATTATATATATATATATACATACATATATACATACATATATACACACACACACACACACACACACACACACACACACACAGCTGCCAACTAGTTGAGTCAACTCCCTTACTGCAAAGAGTTGAGTTGCACTAATTGTCCAGTGGTTGTCAGAGTTTAACATTAGACTAGTTCCCAGGTTTTTTCAGCTGTAGCTGCAAACAGGGATACCAACCTAACCTCTTTCATTTGACTTTTTCCTTTTAATTTGATGCAATTTCAGTTGCTTTGTCTTTTTCATGGTTACTATATGGAGGGGATACGTCAGAGACAAGTTTTAAGTTAACCAAGTAGACATCCAGAGTGTCAACCTCTTGTCTTTCAGTCTCATCACAGAAACATTTTACCAAATTAATCCCAAAATTAAAGCGATTTCCTCTAGTTAGTTTATTTCAAGTTCGCAAAATCATGCGTTTTATTTTAGTTAATGCTCCACTCTTGTCCAAATGTGGTCATTCTTTTCATTCATGAGCGCAGTAATTGGACAGGAAAACTGGGGAGGGGAGGAGAAAAAAAAAAAGGAGTAATTTCTTCCTTAACCATGTTTATTGAAAGTTGTGAAGTGCAGCTGTCAAGTGCAATTGTGGTATGTATGTTACAATATCTCATCCGGTCATTGCGGAAACATGCACAGAACATGAGCATACAACTGATACACAGAATGAAAAAGAACATCTCTAGAGTTTGTATTTTTTTTTTTTTTTTTTAAATTGAACTTTAAGATATTGTTCATCCAAAAGTATTTCACTGTCAAAAAAAAATAAAATAAAATAAAGAGTGCAATACTCCAGAAAGAAAAAGAGAACCAAGTGGAAATGGTTTTACAGTCAAGAGTTAATGTTGCAGTAAGGGTTATGGACAACACAGTCGGGCTGCTTGTTGTCAGTTAAATATCCTAAACTCCTCGTCCATCCACAGTCCTGAAAATACAGCATTAAAAATAGATGACACAGGCTGGGCAAGACTCATCTGCATCAATCTGTGTGACCTAGATAGCATCTGTTGTTTATCTTCACCACCACCTCCTCTCTATTTTACATGATACTTACACTATACAGAAATATACATCATCCTCTGCCCTCTCGAATCTTTTAGGAAAACAAAAAGGGGGAAAAATGCAGCTTAGCCCAAAAGAAGTCTCAACCCTGTCTGATAAGGTTTAAATTACATGCCACTGCAGGGCTGAGAAAACTGCAATGAGGAGCTTCGAGGGCAAAAACGAGGAGGTTGAAATACTGAAAATAGAATATCATCATCTCCATAAGAAACCACGGTTTGTTCATCCCATCAACCCACAGCTAAAAGATCATACCATCATCATCAATGCTGCTGTAAAGAACCTCCCCTCCCACCCCAAACTCCCCCATTCCAGATGGGGGAGTCTGTGATGATTGCTCACATTCTTCATTTGGAGAAGGTGTCTTCCTCTTGAGTCCGTCAACCTGGAAACTTCTTTTATTTACATCATTCTGCAAAACAGGAAACTATCAATCCTGCTGCTCCACCCACTGGTGTAGTTGACATCACTCAGGCACAGTGATTTTTTTTCTTTCTTCTATTTAAATCTAAGCATTGTTTCCACTGATGAGCTGTTCCTCTGTAAGACATTCTAGTTGATGAAAAGAGGGGGACTTTTTTGGCAAATGTTCAAAACAACTTCATGTACAGCATCTCAAGATTGTCGCCCTCCCCCCGCGCCTCCGAGCGCAGCCCCCGCTCGTCCCTCTGTCTGCATCCTTCTGAGATAAAATGTGCAAATTCTCATCTTAACGGCGTAGCCTCCTGCGGTTGAAGGCAAAGTTTGGCTCGGCGGCTGTGCCAGAGCTCAAACAACACAAACAAACAAACAAAAAAAAGTCAAGTTCTCCACCTGGGCCAGGCTACGCCGAGGGGCCGGAGCTGTGTGTTGCAGACTGGGAGAGGGTGGTGGCGCTTGCGGGTCCCGGCGTGGCGGCCGTTTGAGGGGTAGGTGGCGAGCCGGTCTGAACCTGGGCCTGGAACTGGGCCATCTGTTCGGGGCTCGCCAGCGTCTTCAACAGCGTGTTCTCCTGCTCTAGCTGGGAGTTACGCTCGATCAGCTCCTTGATCTGCTCCTTCAGCACCTCCACCTCCTCACGCACGGCGTACATCAGGTGACTCTTCACCAGGTCCTGAAAAAGACAGGAGGTAGAGGTTTACGACAGGAATCCACAAACATCAGGTAAATCAGGTTGCGCCTTTAGGCAAAAATCATAATTGTAACAGTTTGATGTGAATATAAATTTAAGGATGAGGTTGATAAGGAGAAGGATAAAATAACAGGTAGCATCTTCCATCCTACTGTCAGCAAGTGCTTGCTCACGGGGGTGGGGGGTCGTCTGATTGTTGATGTTTTCTCTATATCACTGGAAGGTCTCTACCTTACAATACAAAGCGCTTTGAGGTGACTCCTAAGGGTTGATCTCCTCAGGGAGACGAATTTAAGGAAGGAAATGTGACACAGCTATTGCCTTAAACAAAACTACTAACACTTTTGAGTTGAATTATTTATTTAAAATTTCCTTTTAATTTTATCAATGTTGTTGTGACTAATTAGAAAGTAACATTCTGGATCAGACTTAATTTATTATCCTCTTCAGTTGCTTTCTGATTTCCATAAATCAACTGTTCTTAACATTAAGGGACATTTATTAAAATCTAACTAGTCGTTAAGGATCCAGCTCATTTTCAATTGCAAACACCAGCAAAAGAAAAAGCTACCTGTCTTATGTCTTCACCTGGACCGGATGCTGATGGCCTTAAGGTGTGACTATTTGTGCATCATGGGACTGTACACTGAAAATACTGTTGATCATAGTTTTAATGATCTGGGAAAACAAACATTTAAAGCTGACCTATTTTATTTGGAAAAAGTCAGGAACTTTCATTCAAGCTGAAAGTATCCCTAAATTGAAGCTGTGTGTTATCTTTTCATGGAAAAGCACTGCCAGCCTTCATTATACTGAACTATTTTATGCAAAAACTAATGCTTCCAGAGAGAAAAATAAAAATAAACTACTATAACAACAAAACAACAACAAAATGATAGTTACTTAAAACATTAAACTAACAGTTCATGAAGGAGTAAGTGGAAAGAGATCTTTAGAAGCGAGTCTCTATGTAATCTAATCTGGGATAATACAATAGATGATTATGAAAGGAGAAGCGTGAGAGGGAATATTCCCAAGGTGCTACGCCAGCAAGCCGGCCCACGTTTAAGTGCTAGCCAATCAGAGCCCGAGATATTTATACCCAGGCTGCCAGCCTTCCAGTTTGCCTAGCAACAAGAACTGACAGCAGGGACAACGGAGACGTTAGATTTTTCTGGAAATAAAGGGCTAGATCTTTTTTAAAACTTTGATTATTTTTTGATCGGCTGTTGTGCTTATAATTTTATATTTATTTTATATTTGTAATAATCGGGATGTTCTTTCAACTTGGAACCAGCGGTTAGTTTTGAGTTAGCTAAACTACTTTCACCTTTACGTCGGTCACTCGTCAGTTCTGAAGTCTCACACTATTGCACTATTCTCCACGTATTAGCGGTTTTATTTCACAATTCGTTAACGTTTTGTTTGCTAGAGATTCAAATAAACACTTACGTACACTGGGATGACGAAGTTCCAGATATAGGTGATTTAAAGTAAAATACTTTTAAGGAATACCCTATTAAGACATCTTATAGCAATTCGAAGACAAATTAAAGGAAAAACTCACCATCGCTTGCTCTATCTTGTTGTCTATGGCCACAACGCTGGCTCCGGATGAACTGCAAGAGAAAAGAGAAATAAATCCATTTTAAGCCAAACTGTGCTGCAATGGGAGGGGGAAAAAAGAAAAGCAGCAAATAAGATGGATGGAGAGAAATGCAGAGAATAGAGGAAAGCGAACCGCAGAGCCTGAGGAGCTCCCTCTATAGAAATGTAGGTCGCTACTAGAAACATCTGGAATTTTCTATAAAAGCAGGAATTCTTTATGCTCTTTTTTTCCCCCTCACAGTGAGCATTTACAGTCATCTAAGCTGGATGCTACACAGTCATGAGGAAAAGGCACAGCGCTGCAGGTGAAGCAGCTGACGGAGCATTCACCTATTATCGAGCTGGACGTGCGAGCTCTCCGCGCTCAACAGCGACGACAGGAACGATATGGAAAAATTCCTCAGCTGGCATACGCCTAGATCCATAGCCATGGTGTAGCACGGAGCATTCATGCTGTTCATGATTTACAGGATCTGCGTGGCACATCCACGCGCTTCTTTCCCTGTTTGTTTTCCCCCTTTCCTTTTGTTGTTAGTGGTCCTCTCTCCGGTAAAGCTCGCGCACTGACTGCAGCGGTACGGATGTAAGCCAAGGTCAGTTCATCACAGCGACGCGCGTACACACAGATCTGCAGCTAAGGACGAGGCTGGATGATTTATCCACACACGCGCAGAAAGAGACAGACCTCCGATTGGTGGAGGCTGAGTCTGTTTGCGTAATATATGCAGGGAACGCCCACACCTGCAGCTCTGCCGACTGGTTTCGGCATAAAATCATAGTCCAGCAGCACAAAGGGGGAATATCCGAACCCCCATAATCATATATTATTGAATTTAATCATTTTAAATCACTGCTGGATGGCCATATCTTTATCTGTACTCACAGGCCTAGACACTAGCTGGCAATCCCCTGGCAACTACCCGTCGCTAGAGGGAAAAGAATTTGAATTCCCTGAATGCCTCTTCAAACATTCTTACAGTGGTGAGGCTCAACATTGACATGAAGGTAAACGTTGTACATGTATTTGGCGAGCATTTACAGGAAATCGTCCTTGCAAATGACTGGCAATCGCAGCAGCTTGGAGATTTTTTGTTTTGGCCCAACCTGACCAATTTAACCTAAAAACAACAAGCAACCGCTTGCCAACCACTCAGTGAATGCACATTTTTCCTCAAAATGGTGAGCACGAAGATCTATGCCGACATCTGCACACCTGCCAGTCATTTGTGACCTCCACATTACTATTGCACACGCCCCAAACAGTGGGCTTCAAAGTAGTAGAACAGCTTTCTGCACCAGAGAATAATAAAGGCTCTATCCTTTAGGAGCAAGGCAACTTTTTGCATGGACCAAAAATTAAAACACCAAAATAACGTTTGTAAAAAAATCTTCCTAAATAACAAGTAACTGAAGATTGTAACAATATGGAGTGCAAACTACAAAACTTAATATGGTGGAGCAGAAAGGGAATGAGCATAACTTAAATACTTATAAATGATCACAACTGTGCTCCATGTAAATGTACTAAGTTGCTTTGCACTACTGGTCCTAGCCACGCTCTCGTCCAAACTAAGGCATTATTTAATTGGCACCCATGAGGGCCAGTGTCCATTATGAGAAAGAGCTTATAATACGGAGAAATGGCTCAGGGACAGATAAGACGATAAATTATTTAGACAAGACGCACAAGGTTGACGGACAGGGAATGTATCAGCTACTGCTGCTGTAGTCTCCACAGTAAGAAAGACTTTCATCCAAGGGGGTCAAACTTAACGGTAACATTTAGTTTATTACTTAAATTAATTTTCACATGTGTTGTGGTGCCTGTGGGTAACTTAGATCCTCTAAATAACCTATATTCAAATTCAAATTTTATTTGTCACGTACACAGTCATACACTCCTCCATGAATCTGGTTGTGCTCGAGGTTTCTTTCTGTAAAAAGGAAGATCTTCCTCCCTACTGTTGCTGGGGGTATCTCCAATTCTGTAGGGTCAGTGTGCTGTTGCGAATTGATGCTACAAATAAAACTGAACACTGAAACTTCAGATGAAAGTCAACTTGGTCCATGTAATCTGCACTAACAGAACATAATCAAAAGAACAGCTTAGCTTTTATTTTAGGTTACACAGAAATTAACGTATGTAAAATATTTCAGGTGGGCACTTAGTGTTATTTCGTGTACATATGTTGCCCCCTTGCGGCCTTGTGATGTATTGCACTTTGAGGATTGTTATCAAAGGACTCTGGCATTAAAAAGACTGGAAACCCCCCCAACTGTCTTCCCAAATGGGAACAGAGATGGTATACATAGAAATAAAAGGTCCTCCACTTCCAGACCATTTACTTTCTCAAATATTTGCAGGCCAAACACTGTATAAGCACATTTCAGAAAAATCCATCACCCCACAAGTCTCTCCTTATTGAATAGATTTTAAAAGATACATAACTGAGGCAGTTTGTCCTCTGCATAAAACAGTGTTGACTCTCGCAGAATATACCATTATGTATATTACAAACAAAATGACAGAAAGACCTGGGCTTTCCTTTTGAACACAGTGAGTGGGATTTCCAGTGTGAGGGGAGCAGATACCTCTGTTGTAAAACAACCATTACAAACTCTGAACCCTCTGAAAAAGATCATGTTCACCTATAACAACCTTATTAGACAACATATTCAATTTTTCATCTGCCATAAACTGTTGCTCTCTGAAACAGTGAAACTATGTATAGAGAAATCAACATTTGTCTGGCAAATACTGGTCAGACAAATGTGTTTACATGATTAGTTTTGTGGTTTTGAGCGCATATGGATGATGCATTTCATTTGCTTTTATTATACTGGTATACATGTCTGTATATCATTCTGATTTAGTTTGTGGAAATACTCAGTACCTCATATCATAATATCTGGATTTATTTGTTGGAATTTACAATAATCCAATGAAGAACTTAATATTTCAATTTCAATTTAGTAAAATAGAACAAAGTGAGGAGTTCTTTAGTGCCATTTCATAAAGTTGTACACCTATACTTTTTCAGATTGGTTGTTTTTCATGTTTTGACTGCTGTAGCACATTAAATTACAGACTTTTGGGATACATACAAGTACATCTGATGTGCAATGGCTGTGTTGGGTTAAAACAGAAACAAAAGTAAATAAAGCAGATGCTCCTCCTTACTGCAAGATGATCCATGTCTACATATTTTTTGAGGTTTTACTTCAGAGACATATTCGTAATTTTACGTTATTTTATTTCATCCTATTCAACTGAGCTTTTTTCATTATGATTAATTTCACTTCCACTAATTTTGTTTTGTTGTTGGTTGTGTTTACTGTTTTGGTTGCTATAATGTGGAAATTTTGCTACTATTTGTAAACATAAAGACCTCTTATCTTACCTAATTCTACACTGTTATCAAATGTCTGTCTTCAAGGCAGTCATGGTGGGTCACTGCAGCTAATTTGACTGAAATCTACACACCCAAAAGTTTTTTCACACACATTACAGATGGGAGTCTTTGTCCAACAGACTCAAACAACTCCTACATTTCCAAACATTTCCACATCAGACACCCACAGCGCACCACCCTCTCCCATATACCTCCCTACACCCGGTGAAAAGGTCACTCTCACACATTCCCCAAACACACGCAAAGTCCTCAAAATCTCTTATACAAACTCTTGACATTCACGCCTCTGATCACACCCATGTCCACATCATACAGCAATCAAGCCACAAAACTAGTGTGAAGAAACTTAAGGTCCAGTTTCTGTGGTCAGAACGAGTTAATGTTTCATCAGGAGGTCAGAATGCGAATTACAACCAGACAGCTGAGAAACGGGCTTGCCAGCAAGCACAGGACGGCTATGAAGACAAATCTGTGGCAAGCAAGCTGGTATAAAACAAAGAGGACTCAACATCCCCATGAATTCAACTTGGGGCCCCAAAAAAATAAATGCCTGTATTATTACAATTAAAACCCTGAATCAAGAGCTAAAGACTGAACAGAGCAACGTGTAAAACATTCACTTGGATTTTAATGTTAACACTTTACAACTTCTTTGAACTTCTGTCGTTTCAAGTTTTATTGGTTTCTTTTATGTGTATGTGTGTACCTTATGTTTAATAAAACTGCTTTTTATATTTCTATGTATTCTTATTCTTACAAATAGTCACAAGTGTCAGTGATCTTGTGCCTTTGTCCTGCAGTATTACGCCCAAGAATAATTTTCCATCGGGAAAACTGAGGCACTGAGTACAACTGATTGTGGAGCTTAACCCTCAAGGGGCCATATGATGCACAACTATTGTCTTTTTATTTTATTAATTTTTTTAAGAAAGACTGGATAAAAACTATGACGATTCTCTACATCTAAGACTTGCACACTGTAGCTAATTATTTTTATTACCGATTAGTTTGGTAGCATCATATTTAAGTTACATGTTTTACTGAGCCAGGAGTAAAAATGAAACCAAATCTACAAACAAACAAAAAAGCAGTAAAATCTCAGAACTGCAAGACTGGAATGATGAAATTTTGGGCATTTTTACATTTTGATGTATGAAGTACCACAGCAGGCTGTGTATAGAGAAGAACGGGAGGGGTCTAATCTTAGTGTTTTCAGGTGAAGTATTCAAAAACAAAGCACCAGCTGGATACCAGAAGTCACCTTTACAAATGGTGGCTTAAGCTAATTTGGGCATCAGTAAGCACCAACACTATGAACAAACTGTTTTTTGTACTCTTGCCCACCTCGCACACCCTTGTCCTCAGTCAAACACTTACCGAAAAGCCAAGTACCTCAATAAGAAGCTCTGAGCAGTGCTTATCTCTTCCGGTCAATTGACTGGAAGAGGGTTTAGCCAATTATCCACACCCCAAATAGCCAGTACAAGAGCGGCTGCTGAGGAGTAACACCCACGCATAAGGTCCAAATTAGACCTATGCATATGGAGAGTTACATTGAGGCTTGGTAGGAGCTATACGTGTTTACGCTGAAAAACTTGATGCACTTCCAGGAAAAGCTAGGAACAAGCTTTTCAAGGTGCAACTTGCACAAAAACACTACTGAAACTTAGTAACTTAGTTTCCCCACACGTGATTTAAACCTAATAAAATCCTGAACTAAAGCCCTCATCAGTGAAGACAGAGGGGCTTTTCTTTTTACCTTCTGGGACAAAATTTTAAACTGGTTATAAAGTTTTAACTCAAATTATCAAATAAATCCAGAGTTTCTGACAGAAACGTAGTTAAGTCCGGAGGCTGGGACAGAGGAAGTTGTCCCATTCTTGTCTGATAGAGGATTCTCGTTTTTCAGCAGTCCCAGTTCATCTTTGTTGTGTCTTATTAGCTTCATGATTTTTCCATTGGTTAAAAAGTTGGAATGCAGGCAGGGCAACTCCTGAAATGTGTTGCTGCCATCAAAGTTAAACAGAGTGAATATTTGTAACCAACTAATAAAATGTCTTAGGTTAAACATTTGATAGTTTTCTGTGTTCTACCGAAATCTCATAAAGACCCATTTTATTCAGTCATCTTTTTTTGTAATTGGGTTGTATATTCATTGAGGTGCAGTCATTTTTGTCTAAATATCCTGGTGCTTGAGCTCGACTGTGGGCCAAATTAGACGCACATGTACTGTTTTGCAAATGTGAGTGCTCCAAGTTAATTTAGTAAAACTGCAAGTTGGCATCCTAACCAGCTAGCACCAGCTTTTGCCCACAAACTATTACATTTGTATCGATTGTCTCCAGAATTCAAAGAATACTCCAATAGTTGCCAGTGAAGATCATGCAGTATTTTTGTTTGTGATACCCAGGCCTACTCTGCATAACTTAAGTCGTTCAGAAACCACAAAAGTCGCCCCCTGCTGGCCAGCACAAAGATGCAGTTCACATTTTCCCACCTTTTGACTGGTATCAAGTAACACAGAAACAACAAATCAAATTTTATTTTATTACAATTGAGGCTTTCAGACATAAAAAACAAAGCAATCATCCTTTTTTTCCTTTACAGCTCAAGCTTTAGTCCCTCTGTAAAAGCCCCAAGTAACTCCTCACCAGGCTGCGGCATATTTACGACTACAAACACCCTCCAATGAACTATATACTCCACACTGCACCTTTTGGGGGAAAAAACAAAAAACAAAAAACAAAACCCACCCCCCCCCCCAAAAAAAAAGAAAAAAAAAAAACTAATCCAGGGTTGAAGTACCTCACAAATTCAATTAGACATTAGTACCCATTTTCCAACTCTATTTAAGGGATGTTTTCATTGCTGAGGTCTGCATGAGTGTGTTCTTTGTTTCTATTAAGAAAGGCAGCAATTAAAAGCATCCATCCATCCAAGGCTGGAGCCTATCTCAGCTGTCCCAGTATAGCCAGGACAGGATGGCTCACCAGTCCATCACAGTCATTAAAAACATTTCAGTTTATTTCTGCCACCACCATGTGCCACAGATGCAGTGAACCCATTAGAATGCTGCTATGAAAGTCACAGTAATTCTTCTTTATTCTGTTCGCTGATGTATTACAGAACACTGTAGTGTTTAAACTATGCATGCAATAACTGGCAGTGTCATACACAGGCCAGCCAACCAATGAATGGCCTCGCTAGTTTGCTGTAAAACAACACACCAGCCCAGTGACCTAATGAAGAAACTTTGAGAGAAATAAACCAGCTCCTGGATGCTGTTCTGCTTTTATCTGACCACAATTACTAAGTACTTATTTCAATAAAAACTATGTACATGTAGCGGATACCATTATAAGTATAATGTGCTTTATACAACACTAACAACAATGATTTTAACGCATTTTCAGTGCATATTATCAAGAACACCTCAACAGGAAGTACAGAAATGACACTGTGGGCTGCATCTGCTGCAAAAATAGGACTTCATATGAGATGATGGAGGAGATGGCCCCATTTTGTAACAAGAGGCCAATTTAAAAAAAAATAAAACATCAGAATTTGGTGCAAAAAAAAAAAAAAAAAAAAAGCAGCATGCTGTAGGTTTTAATTACTCACCCCACCAGAAGATATGAGTAAGCAGCACACATGGACTACACAGTGTATCGTCTACTCGCCATCTGCACATTTACTATACATCAAACACTCCCTACAGTTTATCTGCTACACGTGAATTCAAAGAACATGCAGTGCTAATGCACCCCTGAAGCCCTGCATGACTGAACCAAAGGACAATATAGCCATGCAGCCTTTTGTGTGCAGCTACTGTAGTGACTGGTCTATTCACAGCTACCGTATACAGACCCCTTTAGGGAAGGGGGTGAGGTGGTGATGGCGGTGGGGGTTCCCTGTTTTCATTTTACCTTTTGAGATGCTGCTCCAGCTCCCAGAACAAAAGCTTCATTGCCATCTCGTCATGGCCTTGCACTCGTATCCCCCGCACTCTCATGGAGCCGTCCGTCAGCAGCAGCATATACACTCCAGAGTAAGCGCAGCAGCAGTGTGTCCCTGACCTTCTTTGTTTAGTGTGGGTTTTTTTGTTTTGTTTTTTTAAAATACAAACACCAAAAAAAAAAAAAACCCACACCACTCGTGCCTTATTAAATTCAGCGTGCTAGATCACAGCAAAAGACGCAGCTGTAGCTGGACAGTGAATAAAAGGCAGCGTGCCAGGTTATGACTGTACATGAGCTCCTTATTTTTTTTTCCTCGGTCACTCATTTGTGTTTGAATGGCTGACTAGTGAGTGATTTACTGAATACAGCCAGTTACTGAGCCGGTGGTGACGTGTGATCATGTGATACTAGGAGTTACATAAACCATCACCGCAGATTAGCATGTGGACCAATGAGTTCCCTGCTCCTGTGGTCTCTATAGCCTGAGACATATGCAAAAAAATAAAAAATAAAACAGATCCTAAAAAAAAAAAAAGATTACGCGGAAACTGAGTTTGTAGCATTTTTTGGTCTCAAGAACTACAAATCAGTCCTTTAACCTTTAGTGACAGAGATTAATAATGCTACAAAATTCCCTTGAACTCAAAGTCAACAGGATTTTAGGGTTTCCTGTCAAAGACGGTAAGAGCATTCCTGACACTGGTTACTTAACTCGCCACTTCAAACCAAATCATGTCTTTGTCCTTTTACGAGTACATATGCCAGCCCGTTGTGTGACAGACCAGAGACCCTGTGCTTTAGGGTCTTATCTTGTCATATCTCATTGGATGGCAGCTTTAAGATGGCTTAGTGCTTTCCACAGATAGAAAACACAACATATACTCACAGGGCCTCTGCTGGCTTAGAGACAGCCCGCCAAGAAACAACAGGTAAAGGATGAGCACAATCCAGGGGATATGAAGTGTTGGTGTGTGTTGAAAGACTAATTTTTTTTAGTTTTTGAGTTAATGTTTTATATTCAACTATATTTCCAGTGGAAAGATTTTTATTTATTTAGAGAAAATAATTAAAACTTAAAAATGAGGAATACTTATTAAAGAAAGGGCCCCCTTTTACAGTACATATGAACACACATTTCCCTTCTGAGGCTAGTAAGACAAACAATTACTCCATACTTGCAAGTAACTGAGCACACAGGTGACCTGCACCTTTCTGCAGCCTAAACACATGCAAAAGTTAAACTACACAGAAGCAGATGCACTGCTGGGTTATCATGCATTTACTTCTTATTTTGAACCATCAGAAACCAGACTTCCCATAGACCTGAGGTGATGTCTGTTGCTTAATTTCACAGATTTGATGATTAGCTTCAAAAGTTGGGTACTTCCAACCTGCAGTCATCATCCTCGTATCATCATCTCAGAGTAACTTTCTGATTGACCACAGACTCAACGTTTATCAATGGGTGCTTTTTAGACTGAAATCCTTTGGTTGGGGGAGAAATTCTCACAAAGCCACACCACATTTTTAAAAAGTGTCAGATTTAGCCACACGTTAATTTTCACCTATAGACTGACAAGCGAACGACACAAAAGAAAACATAGGAAAAAAACTAGTAAGCACAAGAAAAATAGAATAATAATGTTGTATGGAGAAAAATTAATACCACCATTGCACCAGATTTCACAGTAAGTTATACATGAATAAGTTGGAATGACGTATTTGCAGTTTCCTGTCATAACATGGTTTTGATGTAGCTAAAATTTAATAGGAGTAATTTTATTCTGATATTATCTGTCTCCTTAATTACTTCTAATTTGTTTTTGTCTATCCCTAATAAATATACAGTTTCTGGTTTAATTCACTCTTTTTTCTTTTTTTCTTAAACATGGCAGCCAGTTCTGCCATGTCTGAGGGGAAAATGTAAACTGTAAAAAAAATGTTTTGTGTTTTTTTTTATTAAAAAAAAAAAAAAAAAAGAAAGGACCTGGCGCGTCCCAGTGATGAGAAAAGAGGCCCATTGAATTGTTGAATTGTAAAGGCTTTTGGCTGTGCTGTAGTTTGATAGTGGGGAGCACACACAGACTTTACCAGTAAGTCCTGGCAGTGGGTTTTCCACTGTGACACCCTGACTATGGAGAATGACAGAGAGCTACTGAGTGAGTCAGTCAGAGAAGCAGGGAGGAATGATGAGTGGTCATTTTGGCATCCATACGTGACAGAGGGATGGGCTTTTCGAACATTTGGGCTGACAGCAGCAAGTCCTCAGTCCTCACTCTAAATTAAAAGTCACACATGAGGGGAGAGGCAAAGGAGGAGGGAGAGAGTCTGCCAGAGACATGGGGACTGGAATGGCCTAGATCCACCGCCTCTGCATTAGTACTCACTGAGTCATACGGCGAGAAGGGAGAGAGGCACAAACGAATGCACGTTTCAAATATAAATCAACCATGAGAATATTCAGTTTGACGACTTATATTCGCAATGACCTTTTAGCTAAGCAAATTGAATTGTACAATGTCACCTTTACTGCCACCAAACCTGCTCATTAAGTATGATGTCAGTACCTATGTCCTTCAGTTCCCAAACAATGACTGAAAATTATAAATGGTCTGCAACATTAACATCCAGACATCCATGACAAAGATGACTCGCGAGGTTTAGTTATAGACCATATAGAAAATGGAGAGAGATACCACGGACATCAGCCAATGTTTCTGAAGTCTCTTGTTGAAGCCTTAAGTTGAGCATTTTTGCGAGGAATGGATGTGACAAGGAAGGGTGGGTGCTAATGAGCAGACAATCATAAGTTATCAGGGTGGGGTTTAGCACCACTGATAATCCTCCATTTTGAAACACGGCATGACCAAAAAACAAAAAACATTTATGATCAAAAATGAGTGATTAAGCCAATAAACTCAACAGCTAAGTGTTTACTGAGGTTAAAAAGATATTTTCACATGGCACATCAGTGATCAGCTACCCATGGATTACAGGTTAGATGCTGAATTGTCTGCAAACATTTGCCAAGCAGTAGTGAAACTGTGAAAAGGTGATGCAAACCAGAAAAAGAGAAGATTCGTAAAAGTAAAAAGTTTTTCTCACTAAAGTTAAAGTCCCTAATCAGCAGAGACACATGCCATCACATGGCAGGGAGAGGACATTGAAAATGGACCAAATCCCAGCCAAGAGAAAGTCTGAGATGATCCCACAACACGGGTTAGTCATTATATGGTGCAATGTGGGGCAGCTTGGTGGCTAGCATGTTGCCTTCAATTTACTTACTACAATTTTTTTTCTTTTCTGTTTAAATATGCAACAGGCTTCAATTTGCATGAATATCCAATAGACAAAGAACAAGAAAATGAATACCAGATGATGTATTTAAGCCATTATTTTTCCACTAGTTGAAAAGAAGACATGTTATAAAAGCAAAATAAACCAGTACCTCATAATTCTTTATGAATAAAAACCAACTGTGTTTTTGCCTGAAATCTCTTGCCACAACACACATATAGCACAGTTTAAATCAGCCTTGCACCAAAGTCAGTTCTTACAAATAAAACAATTCTCTTCTACACATAATTGCGCACACACACACACACAGTTACGTAAGCTGTGATGGTTTGTGAGCAGCAGGTTTGAATAATGCGGAGTGAAACCTGGCATTAAAAGGATTAGCAGCCAAAGAAAACACAGTGCTCTGTCCAGACATCAGAGGACAGAAATGATGCTCACATCAGCAATAAAAGGAGGAGAAAAAGGCTGTAAGCA